TGGGTAAGCACTTGGGCTGTGGGCTCGGAGCTTCTGGGTTCATAGCCTCCCTTTGGAACTTTCCAGTGAATTACTTAACCCCTCCAAGCCTCAGTTTCCTCATTTCCTCATCTATAAAGTGGGGATGATAGCAGCTACTACAAGGGGTTGTTGTAAAGTTTAAGCAGGATAGTCTAGCAATGGTCATTCTTATCATTGTTCGTGTAGTCAGCAATGCCTAGGCTCTTGGTGAACTTGCAGAGACCCTCAGAGTGGGGAGCAGCCAGCACACCACGGTATGGGGGAGAAAGTTCCAGCAAGTGCAGTCCTTGGGGACAGCAGGGAGCTGGGTCTGCAGGGCCAGCTGAGGGCTGGTGGACTGGAGCAGGGGAGTGAGGGATGCTGGTGGAGGCCACGCACATCACACTGCAGGTAGACATCGAGATCAACGGGGAGCCGGTGGACTTGCACATGAAGCTGGGAGACAGTGGGGAGGCCTTCTTTGTCCAGGAGCTGGAGGGTGATGAGGTAAGTGCCTCACAGGTCTGATGCAGGGGGCCAGTCAGGGCTGCCACCAGGACATGCTGACGGAGCCTGGGTGGAGTTGGGCGGGGTAGGGGCAAGAGCTGATTTCCTTCCCAGGGAAAGTTGGGGAAGGTTTCCCAGAAGACACCTGCATTAGGCCCCTGAAGGAGGCCTTCCCTGGGCACCTCGAAGAGGAGGAGGGTGCTGGGGAGTAGCTAGAAGGCTGGAAAGCATGAGATGGATTGTTCTGGATTGGGGGCTGGCTCAGGGCAGCTGGAACAAGAAAGTGGGAGGGTGGGGGATGAAGAGAGGGGTGTTTGCGGAAGGGAGGAAGGGCCCAGCACAAGACAGGAGAGATGTTTTAAACAGTTTGAGTTTGACAATCTCTCGTGGAGCCCCTACCGTATGCAAGACACTGTGCAGTGGACCTGGATGAGGGGTGAGCCCTGCCTTCAGAAAAGCTTCCCACAGTAGCCTGGGAGACAGACATGAAAACAACAGATGATAGACTATGTTGTTATTGCAGTGGAGGGTGCTGGACCTGGGCAGGGGAGAGTCAGGCAGACTTCTTGGAGGAGGTGATGCCTGGTTGAGTCTTAGAGCAAAGAAGGAGATGAGAGGCTGAGGCCTCAGTTTCTGCTGGACAGTGGCTGCACAGCACCCTGGCTCACTGTGGGCTGCCGCTGGGATTGGGGCTGATTTATCTGGGAGGGAGCTTTGAGGCCAAGAGCAGTTGCAAGGCCTTCACATCTGTTTTCCTACCTCCTGCTCTGGCTCACCCAGCTTTGCTTGGTGTGAGAAAGCTGGAGGGACTGGTCTGGCTGGTGGGAAGAGGAGCAGCTTTGATGGGTTTGGGACCAGCCCAAGGCCTGAATGTGAGTCTGGGAATTAGTATTTGGGGTTAAGAACTATGGCCTAGAGACACCGGGGTCAGGCTGTGGGCCATGGATGGGCTTCCCACCCATCCCAGGGAATCTGGGAAGGAGTTCAGAGTTAAACTGGGAGTTCCTTCCACCTCCAGATATAGGGGATGCCTGCCTTGAGCATCTGACCCAGGAACAGAACTGGGCAGAGGCTTAAGTCCCTGGTGTATCCCCACCCCTGGCTCCCCACAAATCAGTCACAGTGGCCCAGCAGGACCCCTGCCAACTCCTAGGACCAGGAGTCAGCAAGACAGCTGACCCCATTTCTCAGATGGAAAAACTGAGGTTCCTCCTCCCTGCTTCCTGGGAAAAGAGCAGTGCTTAGGGCTGTCTCCCTGACCCAGCAGGGGCTGGACCTGATGTGTCATGGGTGCCCCCCAATGCACCCCAGGGAGGAGGGCTGACCTACTCCTGTCCCCACAGTTGGGCCACCCCCACGGTTAACACTGAGAGTCCTGCAGCCACACAGGGTTGGGTTCAAATCCTTGTTCTTCTATTAGTTGTGACATCCTGGAAAAGTCACTTCACCTCTCAGCCTTAGCTGCTTGTCTGTAAACAGGAATAATGACACGGGCTTGGTCATTCAGATGAAATGAGCCCTGCCACTGAGCACCACGGTCATTATCATTACTCATGGCATTTAGAGGCACAAACACCCTTAATTGCCTTACCTGATGCCCTCATTTGACAGATGTGGAGATCGGCACTTGGAGAAGGCAGGTGGCTGTCTAAAGATCCCTTGAGCAGCTGGTGGGTGAGCTGAGGCCAGAATCCACGTCTTCAGGCACACCTCCCATCTCATAACTGCTGCCAGTCTGCGAGGGCATCCTGCGGGCATCTCGCTGTAAGCCTGGGGACTGGGGCAGTCATTCCGGGAGCCCCACTGAGGGCAGTGGGCCAGGCCTTGGTCCCAGCACCTCCTCCCTTTCCTAGCACTGGCCATGAACTATGTGGGGCAGCTGGCAGAGACGGTGTTTGGGACAGTCAAGGAGCTGTACCAGGGCCTGAACCCAGCCACGCTGAGTGGTGGCATTGATGTGCTGGTGGTGAAGCAGGTGGATGGCTCCTTCCGATGCTCGCCCTTCCACGTGCGCTTTGGCAAGCTGGGTGTCCTGAGGTCGCGGGAGAAGGTGGTGAGTACTGGCTGCCCAGGGAGCCGCTGCAGGGTGGGCTCTTGAAGCCAGTGTGGCCCCTGCAGTCCCAGGAGAGGACCCAGGCCTCTTTTAGATGGGGATCTGTCCTCTTCTGGACAGGCTTCCATTCTGTTGTACCTTCTTTGAAAGCTTTGGGTAGGTTTGGGGTTTTAGTTCAAGGTGGTTCCCATTTTCCCCTATGAGTAGCATGGTGGGGCAGCCCCTGGTACTAGGGTCTGGCTCCAGCTTCCTAAGACCTTACCTGTACGTTCTTAGTAAGTTGCTTCACCTGTGCAAATGGATATGCTTTCTCACACACCTGGTGATGATGGGATGATTTGGGAGAATTAAATTGGAACTGATAACATTGTCCCAGGGCCAGGTATGTAAGTGACATTCAAAGGGTGGTTTCCCTCCCTAAAGAAATGTGCGCTGTCTTCACTGGGCTCAGGTGAACGTGACAGATTTTTGTTAGCACTGAGTCTGGTGTTTGAAAAGAGGTCTGGTGGGCCCAAATCCCTTTACATTGGGTGTCTGTGAACTTTCCAGAATCCTAAGAGGGAAGTATGACCTTGTGGGTGACAGCATAGCTAAGTGGGTAAGCACTTGGGCTGTGGGCTCGGAGCTTCTGGGTTCATAGCCTCCCTTTGGAACTTTCCAGTGAATTACTTAACCCCTCCAAGCCTCAGTTTCCTCATTTCCTCATCTGTAAAGTGGGGATGATAGCAGCTACTACAAGGGGTTGTTGTAAAGTTTAAGCAGGATAGTCTAGCAATGGTCATTCTTATCATTGTTCGTGTAGTCAGCAATGCCTAGGCTCTTGGTGAACTTGCAGAGACCCTCAGAGTGGGGAGCAGCCAGCACACCACGGTATGGGGGAGAAAGTTCCAGCAAGTGCAGTCCTTGGGGACAGCAGGGAGCTGGGTCTGCAGGGCCAGCTGAGGGCTGGTGGACTGGAGCAGGGGAGTGAGGGATGCTGGTGGAGGCCACGCACATCACACTGCAGGTAGACATCGAGATCAACGGGGAGCCGGTGGACTTGCACATGAAGCTGGGAGACAGTGGGGAGGCCTTCTTTGTCCAGGAGCTGCAGGGTGATGAGGTAAGTGCCTCACAGGTCTGATGCAGGGGGCCAGTCAGGGCTGCCACCAGGACATGCTGACGGAGCCTGGGTGGAGTTGGGCGGGGTAGGGGCAAGAGCTGATTTCCTTCCCAGGGAAAGTTGGGGAAGGTTTCCCAGAAGACACCTGCATTAGGCCCCTGAAGGAGGCCTTCCCTGGGCACCTCGAAGAGGAGGAGGGTGCTGGGGAGTAGCTAGAAGGCTGGAAAGCATGAGATGGATTGTTCTGGATTGGGGGCTGGCTCAGGGCAGCTGGAACAAGAAAGTGGGAGGGTGGGGGATGAAGAGAGGGGTGTTTGCGGAAGGGAGGAAGGGCCCAGCACAAGACAGGAGAGATGTTTTAAACAGTTTGAGTTTGACAATCTCTCGTGGAGCCCCTACCGTATGCAAGACACTGTGCAGTGGACCTGGATGAGGGGTGAGCCCTGCCTTCAGAAAAGCTTCCCACAGTAGCCTGGGAGACAGACATGAAAACAACAGATGATAGACTATGTTGTTATTGCAGTGGAGGGTGCTGGACCTGGGCAGGGGAGAGTCAGGCAGACTTCTTGGAGGAGGTGATGCCTGGTTGAGTCTTAGAGCAAAGAAGGAGATGAGAGGCTGAGGCCTCAGTTTCTGCTGGACAGTGGCTGCACAGCACCCTGGCTCACTGTGGGCTGCCGCTGGGATTGGGGCTGATTTATCTGGGAGGGAGCTTTGAGGCCAAGAGCAGTTGCAAGGCCTTCACATCTGTTTTCCTGACTCGTCTCGCTCCACGGCCTCAAGACTCAGGCAGGGCTCAGGACGACAGGGGGGTGGGGATGCTCCCCACGCTGGAGCTCCCTCAGTCCTGCTCCTGGTCGGCTCCACAGGAGCACATGGCTACCCACCGGTGCACATCACCCATCCCTTGTGGGGGCCTAGCTGCGTTCCCGTCAGCCTCCCAGCTGGGAACCGCCAGTGAGTCTGAGGCCATCAGTGAGGACGTGGCCTCCATGGGACGGAAGAAGAGGCGTCGCAGGAGGAAACCCAGGAGAAAGGAGGGCACCGGGGCAGCCAATTCTAGTTCTGAGGAGCTGGAGCCAGGCACCGACAGTGAGCCATCCCTGCTGGAAAAGCCAAGACCCGAGCCCCCAGGGTGTGTGGGGACCAGGAAAGGGCTGAGGGTGTGGGGATGCCAGCCAGGGTTCAACTGCTGTTTCCTTTGCTGATGCTGTGTGACCCTAGATAAGGGCCTCAACCTCTCTGGGCTTTAGCTGTTTCACCTCCCCAAGTCCCTAACGTCCAGGCTCCTATGCCCAGGGTGCCCTGTCTTGTCAGTGACCAATTACTTCCCTGTGGCCCCTCAGAAGTGTCCAGTCAGAAGGGGAGGAGTCCTCACCACAACCCAAAGACATCTACCCCTACTCCGATGGCGAGTGGCACGCCCAGGACAGGTGAGGCTCCAGGTGGGCTGCAGACAGGAGCTCAAGGCCACAGCCTCTGAGGGGTGTCCATTCACATTTTTCTGATGAATAGTAACACAGAGCACATGTAATGTGTTTGCTGGCCATTTGTGTATCTCCTTGGTAAAGTGCTGATTCAAGTCTTCTGCCAACTTAAAAAATTGTGGTAGAATAGACATAACATAAAATGTACCATTTTGGAGTCCACAGTTCAGAGGGTAATTTGGTCTATTGATGATGTGTAACCATCACTGCTATCTAGTTCCAGAACTTCATCATCCCAGATGGACAGCTTGTACCTGTTAAGCAGTCACAACCTTGCTTGTTTTTTTTAACTGGACTGCCTTCTTACTGTAGATTTGTAGGTGTTCTTTACATATGTGTATATTCCTTATCTACTCTGGATCTAACACAGGCATAAATATATGTTGCAAATATTTTTTCCCAGGCTGGGGTGGGCAGTGGTGGGCGTCAGGCTGGCTTGGGGGCCTCTGAGGTCTTGCTCCCTGCAGTATCTCATCAGGTGGGCTAACGTCACCTAAGAGCGACTCAGAGCTGGAGCTGCGGACCCCCGAGCCCAGTCCCCTGAGAGCTGAGTCCCACATGCAGTGGGCCTGGGGGAGGCTGCCTAAGGTGCGTTTCTCCACGTCAGCCTCCCATCCCTGCCTTACGGGGGCTCCGGGACCCTTGCGGGGAAGGACTAGAGTGACCAAGACTGAGGTTGTCTCCCCAAAGCAGGTGGGCTGTGGGAGGCAGGCCCTGCCATCAGCCCACATACTCTCCCTTTTGTCTGACTGCAGGTGGCCAGAGCAGAGCGGCCTGAGTCCTTGATGGCCCCCATGGGCAGCACCGGGGCCATCCCTCCTCCTCAGGACGAGCCTAGCACCCCCTGCATCTCTCTGGCTGGCACCGACCTCGTTCAACCTGACATGGAGCCCCCCACTCTGGTGGGCCCCCCTCTTCCTGCCCCTAAGAGAGAAGAAACCAAGACTCAGAGCTCCAGGGAAACAGGCCTCCCTCCTGTGATGAAATCACTGAGCTGGGCTGCTCTCGAGGGCCCCGTTTCCTCTGGGCAGGCAGAAGGGGTCTCCAGGAAGAGAGGTGAGTGATGGCTGGACCCCTTCCTAGTGCTTCCCTGGCCTCTTGTTAACCCCAGGCGGATGCTGGGACTTCAAGCATATGGTGAGCACCATTGTGTGCCAGATACCATGCTTGGCCCCAGCCCTCAGGAGGACGGCAGATAGGTGACACAGGCATAAACAAGGAAGAGCGTGGCATGGGTGACATGGGGCAGCAGCATCGGTTGGGATGGGCTGCTTAAATCATGTGGTCAGGGAGGGCTTCTCTGAGCGGGTGATGCTTGAGCTGAGATATGGACGATAAAGATCCAGCCAGTGAGGACCTGAGGAAGAGAATTCTGGGCAGAGGGAACACCATGTGTCATGGCCATGAGGTGACAGAAAGGTTTCATGTCTAGAAAATGAGGCAGCGTGTGTGTCTTGAGCGAGGCAGGGCTGGGAGAGGAGGCGGTGAGGTGAGCAGAGGCCGGATCCTTCCCAGTTGAGAGCGTGGAGAGGCTCCAGGCCCACACTGTCCGGATGGGTAGTCACTGGTTATATGTGGCTATTCTAAGATTTAATTGAAATTAATTAAGATTAATGACCTTTAAATTCCCATTTCTCTGTCACACCACATGTTAAGTGTGCTAATAGTCTCACGTGGCTAGTGGCTACTGTGTTGGACATGCAGACAAGGGATATTTCTATCATCATAGAAAGTTCAATGGGACCACAGTTGCTTTAGGGTGTTTAAAGGCAAGGGGACACACCACTCACACTACTGAGCACCTGTCAAGGCTACAGGTATCCCCTCCTCTGCCCTCAGGGTCCCTGAAGAGAAACCAGCACCTGGGCCCCAGCGATATCTACCTGGACGACTTGCCCTCTCTGGATTCTGAGAATGCAGCCCTTTACTTCCCCCAGAGGTGCCTGGGTTCAGGGGGCTGGGGTGTCTTGGGGCTGGAGCCTGTGGCCAAGGGGCAGTTATTAAGGGCCTGGGAGTGGGTGGGGGGGGGGGCTCCTCCCAGCCTCCTTGTACTCATGTCACCGTTGGCCCCTTTGCCCTCAGTGACTGTGCATTGGGGCCCAGGAGGTGGAGTGAACCCAGCAGCCAGAAGCCCCTGAGGGACTCCAACCCTGAACAGGAGCCAGAACCCAGTCTGGACACAGTGGACCCGATAGTGCTGTCCCTCTGTGGTGGACTGGCTGACAGCCGGGACATCTCACTGGGTATGTCAGGCCATGGCTGAGCCCTTCTGAGGACTGGCTCTGAGTCCAGGGTGGGAGGGAAGGAGGAAGGACCCCAGAGGGTGGGGCAGCAGAGCCATAAGGCTGCCTGGGGGCTGCTGCTTTCTCAGCCCCATGGCGCCGTCACTTGGTCAGCAAGGGCCAGGCATTCCCAAGGTCCCTAGGGGCAAATGCTTGATGCTGAATTATGACTTGCCTTGTGAACCCAGGGTGGCAAGTGTGTGGGGTGGGAGTAGTAGATGCAAAAGACACAAATGGGGAGGAGGCTGCTAGGGCAGGGAGCCAACCTGCAGGAGACCTGAGTGATAGAAGCAGGAGGGTTTGGGGAGCAGGTCACGTGCTATGTGTTGGCCCCATTCCTCACTCTCTGCCTCTGTGCCCAGAGAAATTCAACCAGCACATCATCTCCTACCATGACCTCGCCAAAAACCCCGGCCTCCTGGACGACCCGAACCTGGTGGTGAAAATCAATGGGAAGTGAGTAGGGACAGGGCTGCTGGCAGCCCCAGAGAGTCAGTCACCCTGCCCTCCAGGGCCATGGCTGCTGCAGCCCCTCACGCTGTTATCTCTCCAGGCATTATAACTGGGCTGTCGCTGCCCCCATGATCCTCTCCCTGCAAGCCTTCCAGAAAAACTTACCCAAGGTAATGGTTAGAGCACCACTGGACCTGCTGGAAAAAGTGGCCATAGCTTTGGGGCGGGGGCCCGTGACTAGGAAGTGGAGGTTGGACAGAGATGGGCCTGAGGCTGACCGGCTGCAACAGCCCCTCTGGAAAGTGAGACAGAGGCGGTCACCTCCTATGCTGAGAACCTCTCAGGCTGGGCTGCAGGTGCGTGCTTTATCAGCATCTGTTTATTCAGTGCCTACTGCCTGCCAGGCACAGGCTGGGGGCAGTCATGCCCTCCTAGGAAGACAGTTAACCCAAGATGCAGTAAGATGATCATAAAATTCAGCTGTGAGAATTGGGAAGGAGAGATCCAGGTGCTTTGAGAGCCTACAACAGGAGGGTATGCAGAGCAAGAGCCCACGGCAGCAATTTGAAGATGAGTAAGCCTTAAGCGGGGAAGGCACGGGAACAGCTAGGAGGGGCGAAGCAACCCAGCCTCTGCAGTCCCTCCCAGAACCTCCATCCTGTGCTGACCTGCACCTGCCCCTCCTGCCTTCTGGGAGGGTCCAGGGCTCCAACCTGGTCTGGCCCACTGTTCTCCAACTGGTTAGGCTTACCCAAAGAGCATCACTAACCCGATGGTGACAGCTGGTGCTTCTCTTTGGTGCAGCTCAGCTCCGTGCTCTGGCTGGCTCTGAGTCTGAGCTGGGACTAGAGTCTGTGAGAAGAAAGAGGGTCACTGCCCTGCTGGGCAGACCCACCGCTTGAGGCCCCTGGGAGATCCTCCAGCCTGTTCCCAGCCCTGGCCAACGGCCCCCCACACCCATGTCCTCCTGTCTTGGGTTCCCCATTCTGTTTGGAGGAAGCTGATGGGGCCTTGGCTTGGGCTCTCCCTGGGGTTATCTAGCACAAATCTAGTCACTTTTTCACAAGGTCTTGCCTCCACCAGACACAGTGGAGGGAGGTTGTTCATGGGATAGAATGCTGACCTTAGGGACTCCCTGGGTTGGTCTAGGAGGTCGAGGGGAGTACTGGCTATAGACTGTCCTTCCTGCTGTCACTTGCAGGACTCATGCACGGAGTAGCAGATCTTGAGAAACCCCCAAAGCACTGCCTTCAGCTACTTTAGCAGAGAGACTGACCCACAAGATTTGGAGGCCAGGCCAAGGCTGGGCAAGAACTAGAGGGTTGGGACTGGAGTGGAGTATGGGTGGGCAGGAACGGCCCTTGGTCTCCCGTGCTTAGCTCCATGATTCATTGCTCAAAATCCCGGGATAGAGGTGAGCATGCTTCCTCAGCCTCCAGCTGCTCATAGCACCTTGCTCTAGGGTTGGCCCCAGGCTCCGGCTCAGGGGGCCCCAAGGGCAATGTAAGGAAGGTTTTGGCGGTGCAGGAAAAAACCGTGGCCTTCATCTGCCCACAGAGTGCTGTGGACAAGCTGGAGAAGGAGAAGATGCCCCGGAAGGGTGGGCGGTGGTGGTTTTCCTGGCGACGCAGGGACTTCCCAGCTGAGGAGGTGGGTAGTCATGGTCACAGAGCGGGGGCAGCACAGGAGGAGGTGAAGTTCACCAGAAGGATGTTCCTTCCATAGGGCAGTGCCCAGAGGGAGAAAACTGAAGCCAGGGAGCAGCATGGGTGAGTTGCAGCCAAACCTGGGGAAGACCATGGCGGGGGGTGGGGGGGGTGGGAAGGAGGAGGAGGGAGGGAGCCAGCACAGGGGTGGAGCCAGCACCCTACCCCAAGCCACATGTGGTGCTTTATCACTCCCCAGTCACTTCTACACCCACTGTTTTTCCTGGAAAATGTCCCCATTTCACAGATGGGAAAACTGAGACCTAGAGATACACCAAAGGTCCCACTACTAGAAAATGGCAGAGCTGGAACAGATGCCCAGCATCCTGGCCCCGACGAGGGGCTCCTGTATTAAGGAAGGGTGGGACTTCCTCTGTCCACCAGGAACTGGCTGACCTTCCTTCCTTCTCACCTCTGAAGTGACCCAGAATACCCAAGGTTGGGGGTGGGGGTACGACCAAGTCAGCCAAAGCCAAAGCAGGTGGGACTGGGGAAGAGCCCTACCAGGCGCTTCAGGGGTTTTCAGGTGAATATCTCTAAAGCACGTACTGGCAGGCTGCAGGGCTGGGAGCTCTGGGCCTCAGCTCCCACTCTGCTGTCACCTGCCTGGGTGTAGACTCTTGGCCTGCACCTTATGTCTGCTGCCACCCTCAATGTGGGTGGCACCTAGAGGAACAGTGCTTTCTGAAAGGGCAGGGACAAGCCCCAGGCTCCCTGTGGCCTGGGCTGAGGGGTGAGCATCTACTGGGATGAAGGGCCTCCAACTGGGGGAGGTGGCCTGAGAGTTGGGCTGCCCGCAGGGAGAAGACCGACATCCTTAGCAGCGAGGACGACTCCCCAGACAGCCCCGTGATCCTTGAGGCCCCCTCCCTGCCCCCGTCGCCTCCAGCCTACACTCCCACCTACAGGAAGTCCCTCCGCCTCTCCTCCAGTCAGATTGTAAGTGGGCATGGCTGTGTTTGTGAAGGACTGGTAGGGCTGAGATAGTTTTGTCCCAGAGCCTCTGAAGGCCCAGTGAGGAATGACTCCTTAGAGCCACACATTAACCAAAGTCCAGAATCCATCCTGTTGGCATCCTCCCTAATGGCCTCTGCGTGAACGCGGCTAGGGGCAGGGCTGTTCCGTGTGCCACCCCGTTTCTCTGTTGGATGAGTCATGGGAAAAGCCCTCTCTGTGTTGACCTAACTTATCAACCTGCAGTGGGCCGGCTGCTTCTAGGTCTGCCCTTGGAAGCCATGCTAAAGGAATCAAATGCTGGGGACATCGTCTCAGATTCTGGTAATCTTAGGGCCCAGAGTCATGTCTTCAAGCTCAGTAACTGGTGGTTCCTATAAGAAGAATGTTTTCTTCCTGCGAGCGGCTTCGTGGTCAGGGAGGTGCCCAGGAGGATCTGGCTGGCCTGGTACAGAACTGCTTCATCTCTGTGGTCCTCAGAGGTTCACACCCAACTTGGGGTCCACCGGGGCCTGACAGCCTTGGCTACCTGCTGTAGCTGAGAGCTGCCCCAATCCTTCTCTATGGACCAAGGACAGCTCTAGGTCTCTCTTTGCAGGGATGTCACAGGTACCCTAGCTTCTGCAGGGCCCCTCCTATAGAATGTGGTACCCCCACCAGGCACAATGCCAGCCTTGGCATTGATCTGAGAAACTTGAGCAGGAGTTACAAGCCAGGCTTTGTGAGCTTCATTCCTAAGGGGCACGAGGAAGGCTAGGGCCTGTGCCTGGCACTGTGCAGGCCCACTGGTACTCCCTCACCCCTCCTCGAGGCCACCCTCTGCCCATGAGGATGTGTCTGCAGGTAGCTGTCTCTGATGAATTCAGGCGGGTTCTCTGACTTGGGAGGAAGAGGAGAATGAGAGGCCCCAGGTTGGGGTAAAAGGGGGTGGACAGTGCCTGGCTGTGGTGGATCACAGCTTCCCCCCTTTGCCTGCCCCCAGCGGCACCTGAACTTGCAAGAAGGTGCCAATGATGTGGTCTTCAGTGTGACCACCCAGTACCAGGGCACCTGCAGGTGCAAGGCCACCATCTACTTGTGGAAATGGGACGACAAGGTACCCACACCCATGTCCTCCTGTCTTGGGTTCCCCATTCTGTTTGGAGGAAGCTGATGGGGCCTTGGCTTGGGCTCTCCCTGGGGTTATCTAGCACAAATCTAGTCACTTTTTCACAAGGTCTTGCCTCCACCAGACACAGTGGAGGGAGGTTGTTCATGGGATAGAATGCTGACCTTAGGGACTCCCTGGGTTGGTCTAGGAGGTCGAGGGGAGTACTGGCTATAGACTGTCCTTCCTGCTGTCACTTGCAGGACTCATGCACGGAGTAGCAGATCTTGAGAAACCCCCAAAGCACTGCCTTCAGCTACTTTAGCAGAGAGACTGACCCACAAGATTTGGAGGCCAGGCCAAGGCTGGGCAAGAACTAGAGGGTTGGGACTGGAGTGGAGTATGGGTGGGCAGGAACGGCCCTTGGTCTCCCGTGCTTAGCTCCATGATTCATTGCTCAAAATCCCGGGATAGAGGTGAGCATGCTTCCTCAGCCTCCAGCTGCTCATAGCACCTTGCTCTAGGGTTGGCCCCAGGCTCCGGCTCAGGGGGCCCCAAGGGCAATGTAAGGAAGGTTTTGGCGGTGCAGGAAAAAACCGTGGCCTTCATCTGCCCACAGAGTGCTGTGGACAAGCTGGAGAAGGAGAAGATGCCCCGGAAGGGTGGGCGGTGGTGGTTTTCCTGGCGACGCAGGGACTTCCCAGCTGAGGAGGTGGGTAGTCATGGTCACAGAGCGGGGGCAGCACAGGAGGAGGTGAAGTTCACCAGAAGGATGTTCCTTCCATAGGGCAGTGCCCAGAGGGAGAAAACTGAAGCCAGGGAGCAGCATGGGTGAGTTGCAGCCAAACCTGGGGAAGACCATGGCGGGGGGTGGGGGGGGTGGGAAGGAGGAGGAGGGAGGGAGCCAGCACAGGGGTGGAGCCAGCACCCTACCCCAAGCCACATGTGGTGCTTTATCACTCCCCAGTCACTTCTACACCCACTGTTTTTCCTGGAAAATGTCCCCATTTCACAGATGGGAAAACTGAGACCTAGAGATACACCAAAGGTCCCACTACTAGAAAATGGCAGAGCTGGAACAGATGCCCAGCATCCTGGCCCCGACAAGGGGCTCCTGTATTAAGGAAGGGTGGGACTTCCTCTGTCCACCAGGAACTGGCTGACCTTCCTTCCTTCTCACCTCTGAAGTGACCCAGAATACCCAAGGTTGGGGGTGGGGGGACGACCAAGTCAGCCAAAGCCAAAGCAGGTGGGACTGGGGAAGAGCCCTACCAGGCGCTTCAGGGGTTTTCAGGTGAATATCTCTAAAGCACGTACTGGCAGGCTGCAGGGCTGGGAGCTCTGGGCCTCAGCTCCCACTCTGCTGTCACCTGCCTGGGTGTAGACTCTTGGCCTGCACCTTATGTCTGCTGCCACCCTCAATGTGGGTGGCACCTAGAGGAACAGTGCTTTCTGAAAGGGCAGGGACAAGCCCCAGGCTCCCTGTGGCCTGGGCTGAGGGGTGAGCATCTACTGGGATGAAGGGCCTCCAACTGGGGGAGGTGGCCTGAGAGTTGGGCTGCCCGCAGGGAGAAGACCGACATCCTTAGCAGCGAGGACGACTCCCCAGACAGCCCCGTGATCCTTGAGGCCCCCTCCCTGCCCCCGTCGCCTCCAGCCTACACTCCCACCTACAGGAAGTCCCTCCGCCTCTCCTCCAGTCAGATTGTAAGTGGGCATGGCTGTGTTTGTGAAGGACTGGTAGGGCTGAGATAGTTTTGTCCCAGAGCCTCTGAAGGCCCAGTGAGGAATGACTCCTTAGAGCCACACATTAACCAAAGTCCAGAATCCATCCTGTTGGCATCCTCCCTAATGGCCTCTGCGTGAACGCGGCTAGGGGCAGGGCTGTTCCGTGTGCCACCCCGTTTCTCTGTTGGATGAGTCATGGGAAAAGCCCTCTCTGTGTTGACCTAACTTATCAACCTGCAGTGGGCCGGCTGCTTCTAGGTCTGCCCTTGGAAGCCATGCTAAAGGAATCAAATGCTGGGGACATCGTCTCAGATTCTGGTAATCTTAGGGCCCAGAGTCATGTCTTCAAGCTCAGTAACTGGTGGTTCCTATAAGAAGAATGTTTTCTTCCTGCGAGCGGCTTCGTGGTCAGGGAGGTGCCCAGGAGGATCTGGCTGGCCTGGTACAGAACTGCTTCATCTCTGTGGTCCTCAGAGGTTCACACCCAACTTGGGGTCCACCGGGGCCTGACAGCCTTGGCTACCTGCTGTAGCTGAGAGCTGCCCCAATCCTTCTCTATGGACCAAGGACAGCTCTAGGTCTCTCTTTGCAGGGATGTCACAGGTACCCTAGCTTCTGCAGGGCCCCTCCTATAGAATGTGGTACCCCCACCAGGCACAATGCCAGCCTTGGCATTGATCTGAGAAACTTGAGCAGGAGTTACAAGCCAGGCTTTGTGAGCTTCATTCCTAAGGGGCACGAGGAAGGCTAGGGCCTGTGCCTGGCACTGTGCAGGCCCACTGGTACTCCCTCACCCCTCCTCGAGGCCACCCTCTGCCCATGAGGATGTGTCTGCAGGTAGCTGTCTCTGATGAATTCAGGCGGGTTCTCTGACTTGGGAGGAAGAGGAGAATGAGAGGCCCTAGGTTGGGGTAAAAGGGGGTGGACAGTGCCTGGCTGTGGTGGATCACAGCTTCCCCCCTTTGCCTGCCCCCAGCGGCACCTGAACTTGCAAGAAGGTGCCAATGATGTGGTCTTCAGTGTGACCACCCAGTACCAGGGCACCTGCAGGTGCAAGGCCACCATCTACTTGTGGAAATGGGACGACAAGGTGGTCATCTCGGACATTGATGGCACCATTACCAAGTAAGGCCAGTTGGCCAGGGAGAGACAGGAAGGGCCTGGGCCTCGTCTCCCTCTGGGCTAGGGGATGGGGGATAGGGTCAGAGGCCCTCTCCCCCAGTGCACCTTCCTGGGGCTAGGCCCCATTGGGCCCCACATGTGGAACAGGAGGGCTGCCCTGCAGTGACCCTTCTCTGTGGCTCTAGGTCAGATGCTCTGGGCCACATTCTGCCACAGCTGGGCAAAGACTGGACACACCAGGGCATCGCCAGTCTCTACCACAAAATCCACCTGTGAGTGTCTGGGCTGGGCTGGGGCAGCGCCGTAGGGAGGGAGTGACAGGGCATCTTAGACCGCCCTGGCCTTTGTCCAGGCTTGAGGGCCAGCAAGGCTCACCAGGGCATATCCCTGGAGTACTGAGACCTACTTACTGGGCTTTAGTTCTCATGTGAAACTCATCTCCTGTGGTCTGGGGTCTGAGTCTAACTGCCGGCCTTAGGGTTACAGAGGAAACCTACGGTTTTGCTCAAACCCTCATCCAGCCTCTGCACCTGGGCCTCAGGACTCTGTCCATGCCCCTTCTACCTGGGATGGCTACTGAGGCTGCATCTCTCAGGCCTGAAGTCCCCTCCCCACCAAAGCCTTTAGGTTTGAAGGCCAGAACCCCAGGTCCGGGTTGAGATGGCCGAAGCCAGGAAGGTGGAATGGGAGCTGGCTGGTCTCTGATGGCTTTATGCCACCCCTGTCCCCCACCCCCAGAAATGGGTACAAGTTCCTGTACTGCTCGGCACGGGCCATTGGCATGGCTGACCTCACTAAGGGGTACCTGCAGTGGGTGAGCGAGCGGGGCTGCGGCCTCCCCAAGGGCCCCATCCTGCTGTCTCCCAGCAGCCTCTTCTCCGCCCTCCACAGGTAACCACCCCTATAAGCTAGAAGCCCACAGCCCCCGGGGGGAGCGGCAGCCTCACTGGCATGTCAGCTGGGTCAGACCCCATGTCACCTGACCTGGCCATCCTCTGACTACCACCCCTCCTTGGCTCCCTTCCTGGCCCGCGGCCCTGGCTGCCCCAGGGAGGTGATTGAGAAGAGGCCAGAGGTGTTCAAGATTGCCTGCCTGAGTGACATCCAGCAGCTGTTTCTGCCCCACAGACAGCCCTTCCATGCTGCCTTTGGGAACAGGCGGAATGTGAGTGTGTCCCTTCCTCTCGGGCTGAGCCACCTCCCCCCCATCCCCTGGCCCATCGGCCCCTTCTTGTCCCCTGCAGGATGTCACTGCCTACCGGCAGGTGGGCCTACCTGAGTCTCGCATCTTCACCGTCAATCCCCGGGGAGAGCTCATCCAGGAACTCATGAAGAACCACAAATCCACGTGAGGCCAAAGGCTCCATGTGTCCCCTAGGCCCTGCTCAGTTCCCAGGCCCCAGCCCCACCTCCCCCCAGGGACTCGTGCCTTGCCCAGGGCTCCCAGGCAGGATGCAGTCTTTTTCCCTAATGTGACAGAGGCCAGAGCCTGGCGGCAGCTCAGGCTCTCAGCACCGGCCTGTTCCGCCCATAGGTATGAGCGGCTTGGCGAGGTGGTGGAGCTCCTCTTCCCACCTGTGGCCCGTGGCCCCAGCACAGACCTGCCCAACCCTGAATACAGCAACTTCTGCTATTGGCGGGAGCCGTTGATCACTGTGGACCTTGATGTCCTGGCCTGAACCTGCCCTGGCTGCCATCACCTCCCTACCTGGCCCAGAACTGACTGGGCATCCCAACGCCACAGGGCCAACCCACCGAAGGGGACAAGACCCACCCTCCTCCCTGGCCTGTCTCCTGTGCCAGCCAAGCTGCAGGGGGTAGGCAGCTGGTCCAGGCCTCAACATGGCCTGGGCCTGTAGCAATTAAAATGACTGTTACCTGGCCTTGCAGTGTTCTCTGTGCCCTTCATGTCATTGTCCCTGTCCCTTGAGACTGTGCTTCAAATCCTCATAGGACAGAGAGAAGAGGCAGACCTCGGTGAGGCCTGTATGCACCGGGAATGGCTGGCTGGAGCAGTGGAGGCTGGGGAAGTAGCCCCAGGGAAGAACAAAGTGCCCCCCCTCCCAGAGAGCTGGTTCCCTCTGAAGCTGGACCCTTACACAGCCCTGGCCCCATCCCACAGCTCTTGAGCCAGACATCACTTTTCTCCCTTGTGCCTGATATCTGAGAACATCCCAACCCCCCCTACCCCAGCTCCCCTCTGACACCACGGAAGGGGGTGGTTCCAGGCAGTGCAAGGGCTGAGGGAACATGGCTCCCACTTGGCCTAGCTTGCACCCTGCGGCTGCCCCTGCCCCTCAGCACCTCTCCAGAGGACAAAGGAGGTAGGGGTTGACCTGCTTGCCCCCCCTAGCCTTTGCAGCCAATGCAGCGCCCACCCAGCTGCTGAGTGACCTCTCACCCCAGGAGCTCTGGGAAGCAGGGCTGACGTCCCACTGCCGCTGTCCCTCCTACTTTCTTTGGGGAAGAAAGTACCTCTAGATGGTCTACAAGCTTTAATCAGGCCTGCCCTCCCTGAGCAGTCCCACAATGGAGGGAAGGAGCCCAAATGTCAGGAATCTGCAATGTGGGGCAACAGGGACCTGGGGAGCAGCACAGGAAGGCCCAGGCTGCCCTGGAAATGGGGGTGAGGGCAGTGGGGGTTGGGACTCGCATCAGGGTCTCTGGAAATTGCACGGGCCACATGAACACTTGTGTTTTCAGGTTGTCCCGTGATGGTGTCATACCTGAATTTCTCACAGCTTTGTGAACATCTAGGCGGGGCTGGAGTTTTGCTATTGGAAACTAGGCCTAGAGCCCTTCCCTCCAGCCATGGCCTCCTGCCCAAGGTCTGGCCTCATTCAGGCCATGACGTACATGGGGGCTGTTCTTTGGAGAGGCCCTAACCTGGAGGGAAAGATATTCCCCCAGATGGAAAGGAGAGGACCGGGTGGGACTGCAGTGCCCTGAAAACATCTTCAGGGAAGGGCAGGGAAAGGATAATTTGGGGTGGGGTCTCCAGATGGCCTGGACCCAGTCCTTTCCTCTGGGAATCTCCAGCTGCCTAAGTCTTCACCCTGGAGGAGGAGCCAGAGGAACAAAGAGAACTCTGGGCTGAGTTCTGTGTTTCTGTGCCGTCCTGAAGGACCTGTGGGACAGTGGAAGCCTCTGGTCCTTGGTTCAGAACAGCATCTGTGAAGCTGCCAGGTGTGAGGACAGTGCCAGCGGGCAGAAACCCCCTCCTGCAGAAACAGCCCAGATGGCTGGGGAGAGAAGCCAAGGGGATAAGGGAACCAGAAGCTTTCATGGGCTGGGGGCTATTGCCCATGGGCCAAGGGAGAGGTGGACAGGCCACTGTCTGGCTGGGCCTGCAAGTCTTCACACAGCTGCTGACTCAGGGTGTCTGCAAAAGAGCAACTTGCAGACTGGATTGTGAGGTGTCCTAGGTCCACCCTGGCCTGCAGACATGGCATCCTTGCCTTGACCACTGTCCTGAGTTGTCCGGTTGGTACAGCACCGTGTGGATTTTGGTGGCTGGGATAATCAGATGGAGCTAGACCAAGACTATTCCTTCAGTGGCCTCGGAGGCATCCATGCTGGCCAGGGGAGGCTAGGAGGTACTGCTGGGCAAGGCTGGGCTCTGGAGGGGTGTCCCCAGGGTTGGCAGGATCAGGGGGTAGGTCCTGTCCCACCTGCTTAGTCAGCTTGCCCTGGCCGTGCCTGTTCGGTCAGCTGTACCTGGCAGTCCAGCAGGTCGTCCCGGAGGCGGGCGATGTCCTGGGCATGCTGAGCCAGCGTGCGGTTTAGCTGGTCCACATGGTCCCACAGGCCCTTCCTAGGCCTGAATGACTCAGTGGGCAAGTTGTCTGGGCCCATGGACAGTAGGCCCAGCCTCCCACATGCACCTTCCACTTGTGCCACCCTCTGGTTGAAGTGGCCCACCATCTGCTGGAGTTCCTGGGCTGTGTCCTGGCAGCGGCTCAGCCCCCCGGCCACATTGGCCATACCAGCCTTGAGTCGCTCCAGCTCCCCCCGCAGGCTCAGGACTTGCCTGTGTCCAGCCTGAAGCCTTGAGCCCTGGCCGCTGACCTGCTCCTGGATGGCATGGACCTCAGCCTCCACCTTGCGTTCCCGCTCATCCAGGGATATGTTGGCAGCCAGGAAGGCATCGGAGTACTGGCTGACGGAGTCTCTGAGGCCTGTGAGCGACTTGCTCACAGAGTTCAGATTGACCTTAAGCAGGGTGATCTCGCCTTGGAGTGAGCTGCCCATCGCTTCAGCCAGCTGCTCCTGGACCTCAGCCACAGTGCCATTGAGCTGCTGGAGCAAGGCTGTGTGACTGGCCACCTGGTGCAGGAGGGCCTCACTCCGGCTCTGCCAGACTTTCACCTCTGCCACAAGGTTGTCCAGGATGGCTGAGGTGGAGCTGGGGGTGCATGAGGTCTCCAGTGAAACCAGGCGCTGTTCCAGCACAGCCAGCTCTGTCTGCACCAGCGGCCGTGCTGACCTGCCTGGTAGGGCACTGTCATGGCTCAGCTCCCCAGCCAGTGTCACCAGGCGCTCCTCTAGGCTCTGCACACGCTCCTCCAGCATGGTCCTGAAGCTGCCCATGCCCCAGCTCCCCTCCCCCAGACAGCAGCCTCTTGCTCTGTTCTCCGTCCCGTTGAGGGTCTCCAGCCCCTCCAGCAGCCCATCCATGCCCCCATCAAGTATGGCAGCAGAGAGCCGCGTGAGCTCATCCCTGCTTGGGGAGCCATGGCCCCTTTGGGCCTCAGTGACTGCCTGTAAGTTCCTCTCGAGGCGGTCCATGCGGGCACTGATCAAGGCCAGCTGGCCACAGCAGCTGCCCCTGCCGGCCACACTCAGGCCCTGCAGCTGGGTGCCCAGCTGTGAGAGCTCCTGGCGCAGGGCCAGCTCCCGACCATCCAGGCTCTGGTGCAACCTCTGGCTGGCTGCCTGACCCTCCTCGCACTGCTGCCGCACCTCCTGCACCCGCAGGTCACATGTGCTCTGGACACCTTGCAGCCTCTGTTCAAAGCCGTCCAGCAGGCTCCCCCAGAGTCGGTGCAGCCGTTGATCCATGTATTCATCCAGCAGTGCCAGGGAGGTGAGTGGAGATGGGGGGGCCTCCCGCAGCCTCTGCAGGTGGGCCTCGTGGCCGAGTGCCAGCCCATGCACCTCATCCAGCAGCTGCACCTTGGTGCGGAGCGTGTTGCTCACCTCTGTCACCTTGCTCAAGATCTCATCCAGGGGAGGTGTGAGTAGCCCTCCAGCTCGGTCTCTGGGGTTCACAAATCCCTCGGCGATGACCCCAAAGCCCACAGGGGCAGCAGGAGCCCTGGGGTCACCAGTCATCCTGTTGGGGTCTTCGTGGCTGGCCACCAGGCCTCTGAGGGTACCATATGCTTGTGCTAGGCGTTGGACATCACCCTCCAGGCGTACCAGCCGCTCACCGAATAGCCCTGAGCCTTTCCTTCCTGAGAAAGAGGAGGAGAGGACCTCAGGGACATCACTTGTCCTGTGGCCAGGCCACCAGAGAGCTTTGTGTTTGAAGCCAACCTTCTCACTAGACATAGCTCTCAACTTTGGGAGGGAGCCCTGGGGGATCACCCCATGCCCGGCATGAGATGCACCCTCCCCAGCCCTGCCAGAGCTCAGCCAGCCTGGATCAGTTACCTCCCCACCTCCTTTGAGAAACCCAATCACCTGGTAGGGTCTCCATGGGCAGACTCACCATGGGGGCTGGAGGCTGCTCTGCTAGAAGGAGGGGACCTGGGGCCTGGGCCCAGCTGTCCCGAGGGAATCTGTGGCTCAGGCTCTGGCTGGGGTGGGGCAGCGCCCTGGTCCGTGAGGTGTTCCGGGCAGCCTTCTCCAGTGAGGCCGGGGCAGCAACGCCAGGCGAGTTCTGTCACTGTCTTGTGGCCCACCCTGTATCTGGGTCTGAGCACTGTGTGGTACCTAGGCCAGGGGCAGGGAAAGGACAGGCCTTGTACCTGTGGGCTGAGGCTCCTGCTCCTGGCAGGTGACCTTGTCCCTTCACTGGTATTTGGGGCCACTCTCAGGCACTCATACAAGACCTGGATGTCTCCCAACCTCCACACCAATACCAGAGTTCTTCTTTTTCCTGTGCTTAAGGTGACGGGGCTGTGGAGTGGAAGCAGGCCTTGCAGAGGTTTAGAGATAGGTTAAGAGCAGGGCACAGGTAGGAACCCCACCCCATCCTGTTTGCTTTGGGGAACACTACCAGGGATTTAGCCCATTTCACTCATACTGCCATCAGAAATTCCACTCTCGCTTTGGTAGCACCTTGAAGAATTCTGACGAACCCCAGCCCACCCACACACAGGCAGGTGTGTGGGCATATGGCCCTGGAGCTGCAGCCAGCCCTTCTCACTGCCCAGGGGCCACTACTGGGACCACTCCTGGCTCCCATCAGCTCCCCTTAGTTCTGCCCACCCATCCCCAGCCCACTCCAGGAACTCAGCTCTGGCCGTGGAGGCTGACAGAATGGCACCTCTGATTGTGAGCACAGCGGAAGCCCCAAGGGTACAGGGCAGTGCTCACTAGGGGCCACACCCTTATCTGCTCAGCTGTGTACCTGTTCCCCACTGACAAACTGGCGCAAACAGCTTTGTTTTCAGACATGTACTTGACCTCTCCAAGTACAGACCTGTGTATCACACCTGTGTGCAATCCCACATGTCCCCACACAGCCCCGTCCGTCTGGCCTACACCCCAGCAATCTGGCTTCCAGCCCCTCACTTTGGCTGCCATGGGCACCCCAGCTCTCCCTGCATTTGTCCAGGGCTCCCTTTGCATCGACCACTGCCAGTGTGGTTCTCTGCTCCCTCTTTTCTCCACCGCTCCTTCGCCTCTGCTCCTCCTTCCTTGCTCTGTCCTGCGTCTCCTCTGGGAGCCCTCTCCTGACCCTCTGGGGTTCCAACCTGAGCCTGCCCTGGCTCTTTGGCCCCTTCCACTGGCCTGTGCGGGGGCTGGGCAGGCTTTGGGGAGCCCAAGGAGTCCCAGCCCCTTGTGGAGGGGGCTGCTGCTCTCAGCTGAAAGCAGGCCCAGGGCTTGTGCCCAGCAGTCCTGTGTGGGTGGAATGGGGGTGACTCACGTGACTGTCCCAGGGCACTTGGGCCCCCATCCACACTGCCGGTATTCAGCCTTTACATAGCGCTCTGCTCCCTCCTGTAGGACACAGGTCACATTCTTGTGCACCACGTAGGCGCAGAGGGCCCTGCAAGGGAAATGGCATCCTTGGAATACCTGGCCTGGGCCAGGCCCACTGAGGCTCCTACATGCTCCTTCCCCAAACTGTGGGCCTCAGCAGGGGACCAGACCCCATCTCTCTTCTGCCCCTTCTTCCTTGTTCCTGGGCGCCAGGCCCACTGCTGGCTCCTGCAATCCCAGCCTCCCCAGTAGGCTGGTCACGGGGCAAAGTGTCAGGAGCCTGGTGCTGCTGCCCTCCCTGGATTCTCCCTCCAGGGTCTTGCCATGTTCCCACCCTCCTCCAACTCCTTCACTGGCTCTCAGCTCCTTATCTTGATACCCAAGGCTACTGAGATCCCCACTCAGTGCCTGAGTGAGTGCCTTGGAGACCACACTTCTCATCCTCCCTTCCCTTACTGCCCCATGGGAAATACATGCCACCCTGTGGTGTCCAGCCCTGTCTTTGCTCCTGGTTCCTCAGTCTCAGATCACTTTTTGTACTGCCTCCTCCAGGAAGCCCCCTATGATGTGCCCAGGCCCACTAAGTTTTAGCCATGGGCTGGACACTCTCCTCCAATAATAACTCTCAATTGCAGCTAGAGTTCAAGTTCAGCTAGCACCCCAGGCAGAATCCCTAACTCACCTGGCTGAGGGCAGATGTGAGCCATTGCCTTCTGAAGACCAGAGCAGAGGCAGGGGAGGGGCAGCAACCCGCCTCACCGGCCCGAGGCCCCAGAAGGTGGCTGCCTAGCATAAGCTGCCCTCCCTGTGGGCTGCTATAGGGCTCTAGAGCCACCACACGGCCCCCAGCACCTAGGAGCCCCCACTGGCTTTGCGGCCCCATTCACTCTGGGGTTCCCAAGGGGTTGCAGGGGCCAGACTGACTTCAGGAGGGAGCGGGCCGCGGGGCGCGCGGCTCCATCTCCTACCTGGTGGGACAGTGGAGAGGTGAGAGGCCCCGGCCAGGGGAACGGGGAGTGAGGGGTCCTGCGGGTGGCGTGCAGTGACTGCGCTCCACCTCTCCCTCCACCTGGTCTGCTGCGCCCGGAGTTTGCACACAGCGCAGCTGGAAAATGTTACTTGGTTGGAAAGGTTTCCTCGGGCACTGCCAGGTTGGCAGCCGCCGCGCCAGGCCCCCTCGGCTCATTTTCCTTCTTCAGCCCCGCAGCCGCCTCCCGGAGCTCGGGGCGCCTGCTCAGGCAGAGGCTCGGCCACGGGTGCCTGGCGCCTCCCATCTCCCGCGTGCGGTCTGGGCAGGTGGGAGCGGCGTCGCTAGGGCCCGGTTCCTCCCGCTTCCCGCCCGCCGGTCCCGGCGCTCCCCGCGCTTACTTGTGCGGCCCCGGGCGGAGCCGCGGGCGCCATCCCGTCGTATAGAGGCTGTAGCGGGAGGCGCTGAGCGGCGCGGGCCGCGCGAGGAGCGGGGTACCCTTGGCCTGCGCCCCCGAGAGCAGCGCTGCCATGGCGCACAGCCAGACAGGCAGGCGGCGGCGGCCCATCGCGGCCCCCGGGTTTCCACCTGGTCCCGCGTGGGGGCCCCGCCAGGTGCCCGCCCGCCCGCCGCTCGTCCGCCCGGGTCCCGCCACCGGTCGCGACCCCCGGAGCTCGCTGGCCCGGCCGCCTGGCGCTTCGCAGCGGCTGCGTCCCGCGGAGTGGCCGGCGCTGCTCGCGGCTGGGGCCGCAGAGGGGAGGCGGGAGGCGGGCTCTGCACGGATTAGCATAAACTCGGGGCCGCGTTGCTCTCCTCCGCCGGCCCCCTCTTCGCCGCCAGCCCCCCGCCCCAGCTCCAAGCTGACGCCCGAGGGGCCGCGTGCAAGCAAGCCGCTAAGAAGGGGGCAGCCCCGGTGTGGCAGGGGCGCAGGCAGTTGCGCCCCAGGAGGCCCCCTAGACACACCCATCCACCACCGCCGCGCGCCCGCTTGCACCAGGCGAGCTGCAGAGCCAGACCCCTGGGGCTGACTCGGGCGCAGGCCCTCCAGGAGCCGCCCACCAGCGAGACACACTGGTCTTCAGAGCCCCTGCGCACCCGGACACTGTGTTTGGGGGCGCGCCAGCAACACCTCCGCTGCCGCCTCGTTGGAAGAGGCCGCAGACCGTCCCTGTTGGCTAGCTCTGCCGCCGTTATTGTCCGGAGGGGCCTAGGACATCTGATAACTCTGCTGACCCTTTCACAGCGCTTTCATGCCTCCCCACTAGCTAACCCTCTGCAACCCAGTCCGGTGGGGTCCGTGTGATCTCCGTCTCACTTAGGCATGGGCAGCACGGAACCGCAAACACCCATCACCTCTCCAACCCAGCCCAGGATGCTCGGCTTCTTCTTCGTGCAAGAGCTTTTAGGCAGCTGAACCACGGCACTGGCTCATTATTAGGATCTGGTCAAAGAAAACCTTAAGGTCTTTTTTGCAAGCAACTGCTGCTAAGCCAAGCTTCCTCCGTATTTCCCTTGTGAAATTGACACTTGGAACCCAGGAGTTGGCCTTTATGGTGACCCTCATTCAGCATCGTCTTGCTTACTCTCTTAACATGCAAAGAGCCCTTTGAGTCCTGATTCCGTCATCCGGCACAGTGGCATTTCTTCCTGGCTTTGTTCCACCCACACAGTTGACTATAGTTTTCTGTGTCTTTACCCAAGCAGGAGACGCACGTGCGGGACACGGAACTCTCTGTGGGATACACCTGGAGAGGCCACCCGCCAGCCTGACGCTGCAATGCGAACCCACACCTGTGCTCCCACTGGCGCCCAGCCCTTGCGGCTGTGGGTCCCAGGGGCAGACACCTGACTCAAATATTCTCTCCTGGGCTTTGGAATTGGAACACAGAAGCTGAAGGGATCCAGCTTCCAAGTGGGGGCTGTATTTGTTTGCTGGGGCGGCTGTAACAAATTAGCACAAACGTGGTGGCTTAAAACAACAGAATTTTACTGCCCCACAATCCTGGAGCCTAGGAATCCGAAATCAATGGGTCCGTGGGGCCCCACTCCCTCCAGAGACTCTGGGAAGGCTCCTTCCTTGCCTCGCCCAGTACCTGGTGGCTCCTGGCAAACCCTGGCACTCTGGCTTGTGTCTGCATAGCTCCCGTGTCTGCTTCTGTCTGCACACGGCCATGCCCTCATGTCTCTGCATGGTCTTCTTTATGCGGCCTTCTTCTCTGGGTCTCTGTGTCCTTTCCTCTCCTTATAATGACACCAGTCATTAAATATAGGGCCCATTTGAATTGCAACAAGGACACGGTTTCTAGGTGTGCATGAATTTTGGGGGACACTATGTAACCCACTACAGGGCTCCCAAAGACAGTCCATGGTATGCTGTAGCCAGAGTTCTGGGGCAGGGGTAAGGGGAAGCTAAGTGAGGGAATTTGCCAGAGGACTGGGGGTCAGAGGTGAGGGGCTCTGGTACCCAGGGAGGGTGTGGAGAGTACTCATTTTGGTGACTGGCTTCCCCTGGCTGCTTCCAATAGCCCACTTCACTTGGGATAGTTTGAAGGGGTTTCTAATCCCGACAGATGATGCCTACTAAGACAGCCTTCCATCTTCAGCCACAAATCACCAAATGTGGTATTATATTCTCCAGCCTTTAACAGAGATGTCCATTTGGCTAGGATCAAGGTAAACCAAATCCATAACATGCTCCTGATCTTGTAACCACTGAATTTGCACTTCTCAGAAACTGAGGGACATCTGAGTGGGGGGGTGAACAGGACCCAGTCCTCACTCCAGGCTGGGCTCTGACTGCCTGGCAGCACTGCCCAGCTGGCTCTGTGAGAAGGCACCCCACCCCCTCAGAAGCTGTGATCATTTTCCATGGAGCCCTGCCGCTTCCTTTCACTCCCTTCGCCTGCCCAGATGTGGGGCCCAACTTAGAGGGAGGAGGCCGGACCCTGCCTGGACATGGAAAGGTCTTCCCAACAAGGGGTTGAAACGACGGTTGGGCCCTGCTCCCTTCCCCAGGTGGCTGACATCAAACACCACGCTCCCTCTTTAACGGGAATAGTTTCGGGAGGCAGCACGAGGGCTCCATCCCTGTGCAGGAGGAGGACGCCGGTGGGGGGACTGCTCAGGGTCTTGGCTGCACCCAGGCAGAAGCTGGAGTCTCCCCCACAGATGATCAGGCCACTTCGCATCTGCCAGACAGGAAACCTAGGGAGGCTAGAGGTGGGGGAGGGAGGCAGACAATCATGTCCTCCACCTACTCCAGCTGCAGTTTCTACACCTGGGCGGAGGCAGGATCATGCCTTCTGTTCACAAGGACATGTACAGCCATATCTGGACACGTACAGTCCACTCCGCACACCACTTCCACACACATATGCAGAAACATACTTTCCCAACCTTCACTCACCCCTAGTGACAGATGTGGCAGCTCTCTCTTCAGGAAGGATGGAGGAGGCCATCAGGATGACCAGGTAACCCTGGATGGGGACAGGTGTAAAGTCTTGTGTTTAGGGTCCATCAGTGAGTGGCACAGGGGGCAGACATGAGTGGGAACTCCTGCCAGACGCTGGAGCTTCCCTCCTCCCTCCCTGGGCTTCCTGGAGCAGAAGAAAAGAACTGGCTCCGGGGCAGAGGTGATGAGTGGAGCCCAGAGGCCGCAGAGGTGGGCCTCCTGGGTGAGCTGACACGTGGCCCTGTGCCGGGGCCTTGCACTTGACTGGGATGTCCCCACTGAACCTGTACTTCTCAGAAGCTGAGGAGGTTCCTCTCCCAAGCATATAGACCTCACTGAGGATGGTCTCTCCTTTTTTATCCAGACCCACCATATAAGCTCATTGAGCCTCATGAAGTTTTATGGAACATGGTTCCCCTAAAAGAGACAGAAATAGAAAGTGCTAAAACAGTTGCTTTTGGCACAAGCCCTTCCCACCACTGATGAGTCCCTTGCAGCTGGCAGCAGCACACCCCCGGAGTCAACTGGTGGTAGCCTGGCCCTAGGATAGGGCTCCTGACTCCAACAGCCCTTTGTCCCCGCCCACCCACCCCCTATCTCCTTTCCTCTGCACAAGCATGGTTGGGCCCCCTGGATTTTCCTGCACATGGGGCCACCTTTGGAAATTCTGTGTAACAAGGCTCTTTGCCTGGGGCTCACTCTCTCCTCAAAATAAACATCAGCATGCTCGAAGTCCAATTGGCATTTTGATTACACCCACACCATCAAAAAGAGGTTACTGTTAAATCCACATGCATTCCTGGGGCAGGGGTTGGAGTGACCCTTTCCAGCTGGACTGAACTGTGGCTTCTCCAGGATGGGTTGGGGGACTGGGATTGGGGGTGTAGATGTGCAGCCCCCAAGGTGAGGGCCTGGGAGAGAGTCCAGAAATCATGGAAACTGGACTCTGTAAAGCCCGGATAGATTTCCATTGAGTAAGAGTTGCTTAGAAACAACTTAAAAATTGCACAGGGCTGATGAACCCTCAACGTGAACACATGCAAACCAGATGTAATCATTATGCAAATAATATGCAAAACATATGCGTGGGCCTCCCAACTATTCCAAAAGCCAGAAGAGGCCCTTGGGGACCTTGAGTTTAGTGGAGCCCTGTTGTGGGGGCTCTGGGGCACAGAGATGAGAGATGACCTTGGACTTGCCAGGCTGTTGTGTGGGTAGGAAAGGTGTAGCTCCGAGGCCATTCACACACTAGGAGAAGGAACCAGAGAGGGAATTGATCAGACCTGGGTTTGAATTCTAGCTCCTCCAATTACAACTTGCATGATCTTCATGGAGTCACTTCACACCTCTGAGCCGCTGTCTTCCCATCTGTAAAATGGTGACTATGAGGAAAATGAGAGCATTGGCTCAAGTGTGCATGCACACAGTTGAGCACATAAGAGATGCTCAGTGAGGCTGCAGGGCTCTGAGTCCTTCCCTTTGGGGGGGTGGCTGGCTGGATGTCAGGGCTTCTCTCCACTCCCTGCAGCTGTGGCTGCTGTACCTTCTTTGAGGCAGCAGTGCGGCTGTGGGCTTGGGGAGGGTCGGAGCTGGAGGGCCTAAGAACCCACATACTCCTCATTCATCAGAAAGCTGCCAGGCCCACTTGAGAGAGGGTGTGGTGGATGCTCCTGGCTCCCCGCAGACTCCCTTTACCGGGACAGCACACCCACCTTCGCCCCACCACAGAGTGACCGCAGCCAATGCTCACAGCTGCCCCTTCTGCGAACTGCCATGGTTGAGGAGAGCTCCTCCCCTGGGAAGACAAACCCTCCCACCCACAGCTGATGACTGGCTGAAAGAGGGATACAAAAGGCTGGTCTCCCTGCTTCAGAGAGACAGCTCCGCAGTGTGATTGCGGTCCAGAGGTGCCTGGATCAGGCCACACTGGGCCTTGCTTAAGATCCTGTTCTCACTCTACCCCTTCCCTCTCCTGCTTCCCCTGAGTCTCCGTCTGTTTGTCCTGAGAGCTCTCCCCTCATAGACTGCATGGTCCTGGAGCCCTGCTTCTGGTGATCCTGACCCAAGACAGGGAGACAGACCGGCAAGCAGAGAGGGAGAAACCACAGGATACTCATTATGCTCAAGGACCAAGGGGAAGGCCACCTGGGGTGGGGAGAAGGGGGCAGAGATGTC